TTAGACAGAATATATAATTATATATTTTTTATAAAAATATTTTAAATAGTTAAAGCTAAAATTAATATTTCAGATTTTAAACATTTTTAAAAAAGTGGCAAAATAGTCAAAACATATATTACTGACTAAAGGTACTAATTCAAAGCTTTGGTTACACTTATATAGAAGTTTATGACAAAAAAAAGTTAGAATTTATCAACACTAATATAACACCAACTAGAAATAGCTAAAAGTAATTTAGCTTGCTATTTAAGTAATTTCGTGGTATTAAACTAGTCTTTAACAAAATAAATCATTAAAGTAGAATTACAAAAATAGCCAATAGCTAGGAGTATATAATCTTGTAATTGCTGTGCAACTCAAGAGGTCCTCACAAACTATAGTCCTGACAAATACCATATAAAGGAGTACTTAAGGGGGTAGTAAGAAGTATACTATATCAGAAAACTTAGAAAATGCTAAGACTTGGAAATGACAAACTAGGTAGTAGTAACAGGGACCTGGCTTGAGATATGAGACTAGTATATCTGGTAAAACAAGTAAAAGGTTTGGAGTATTCATATAATATTAAGTTGTATAAAGGAATACAAACTAGTATTAGTCAGTACAAACCCAATGATAAGTCTTCTTTTCAATATATAATACCAATACTTCTCATGTAGAACTAGCAGTGACAACAAGTACCTGGCTTGAGAAATGTGAATGAGAGACCACCTATTAGAAGAAGTATACCAGTCTAAAAAATATTTTGAATAACAGACACACCAAATAAGAAGGCCATTAAGGACCGATTATTCAAATAAACTAATTTGAAAGTTATTAAGGTTTGATGATAAGACATAGGATGAATATGGTAAGTAACTAAATATAGTCTGAATACCAAATCCAGATATAACCCAATATGTGGTAGAAATATAACATACTCTGATAGGTTTAGGTCATAGATAAAATTGTCTAAGTCTGTATTCTTAAGTTAGATATGTAACCATATAAGGCAAATACTTGAAATTATCTAAATAAAGATACAAGGCAAGACCTCACCTTAATACTGAAAAAAAAAATAAATTTTAATATTAAATATTTTTAATTAAAAGTTAAAGTTGGTTAGTATAATAAACTTTGACTCTATTTAAATTTTTTTTTTTTGCTATTTTTGTAATTTTTTTGTTATACAAATTCTGGAATTTTATTGATTCTAAACCAGAAATTTTAGAATCAAAGATCAATTTTTGCTTGATATAAGAATATATACTAGGTCTGTAACACAAATTTACTACAAGATCAGGTATAACTAGAATATATAGTATAACAAAAAATTTTGGCATGCTATACTATGAGCATGGCATTGGCATGTTATAATATATTTGAACTACCTTTCGGAATATTTCGGACCCAATTTTATGTTGTTATATAAGCGGCATTTTAGTTTGGGCATGCCCTATGGCATGCTACCATTGGCATGCCATGGCCACTGTGCCGCACACCCTAGGTGCAACGTAACAAACGTCCGCTTCGAAATTCTACATAAGAAACTACTTTTGGTGCTTTAATAAAAAGTTTTTGTTGGGCAATTTTATTATATAGAATACCTAACTCTAATATGGGATTTTTGCCTTGAAAATCACACTCCGACATTTCCGATCGAGTTAATTCGGACAAAAATAAACCCGAGTACCGGTTAATGTTCATATGTTAATCATCTTTTAACTTTATTTGATTCAATAGTTTATCGGATAATTATTGAATTGAATCAATAAAAGTAAAAGATGACTAACATATGTATATGAACCGGTACTCGGGTTTATTTTTGTCCGAATTAAACCAATCGAAAATGCCGGAAAGTGATTTTCAAGGCAAAGACCCCATATAAGCGAACATTAAAGATTTTGCTGCGCCACAAATCTAGCACATTTTCAAGTAATGCAACTAGTCCTATACTGCAGATGAACCTGTATTTTTACGCGGTCTACTTGTTGGCATTACTACTAGTAAAAATTTTTGATCAGTAAAAAATAATTTTTGATCAAGGAAACTAAAGGCTTGTTAAGCATAAATGTGAAATATACAACTATGTTATGTTATAAAAAAAAAAAGTATAATATTTTTGGCGAAACCCCAAATTCTCTAATTGTAATTAAATTAACCAATCAGCGTGAATTTCGTGATAATCACATTTAAATGAATAACTCGGTGCGTCTACGTACGTATTTAAATTCACAATTTCCCTTTCAATATATAAAGTTTCTTATTTGTTTGAATATGACAATAACTATAATAATACAAAGTACGCACAGTCAAACCCCTAAATGAAACTCATGGGACAAAACTTTGACAACTTGCATTTAGAGAACAATAAGAAAAATTGCATTTATGGGGTATTGTATATGTTTGGGTCAGAGTTACTATTTTTAATATTTTTAATATACGGTATATACAAAAATTACTACAGGGTATTGAAGTACTCAGAGTCGTATGATAAAAAAAATGGGTTGTTTAAGAAGTTAAGCGCATTTTTTTTTTAATGCAATGCGTGATGAGTGCATATAAGATTTCTTGATTTAGAATGAATGAAAGCCGCTCTTTCTATATTAGATAAACTATCAAGTAGCCGCTAGAGCCAACCTTTGAATCGATTTAAAGAAGCATGACTCAAAGTCGCATTAAAAAAAACTAATCGAGAAGATTGAAACCAACTTTTCCATTTTGTATCCTTTTGTATCGTATTTAACCCGGTTGAACCACCCAAAGTTATATACTAATCAGAAAAAGGTTTAGTACTATCTTCATTTAGATGTAATACATAATTGGATTTTTATACATAATTGAAATCAATATAGCCATATAATTTTCGGCACTTTGTTACTTCAAGTAAATTATGTATATATTTATCTAACAATCAACGTCTTTTAGTGATAGATGTACAATTATGATCGTATTGTCTATGGATAACGAGATGAAAAAGTAAAAATGAATATGTACAAAATCAATTCATGGTTTAATGTATAGACACAAAGTGATAAAAGTAGTATGAGATCGTTCTCCTACGCATTTACACAAAATAAAATAGAAATTGCCAGACCATCATCACCAGTAAACCTAACAGTTTAATAAAGATCAATATACAAATATAAAAGTAGAATTTAAAATAACTAGCCATTAATGAGAATCCAAGATATCCAAATTATTAAATTTCGTAATAATCTCATGAAACTGAGTGTCTTTCGGTTGTGAAAATGTACCGTTATTAGATGTAATTATCTTATCAGGTACTGACGAAGATCTTACTTGCATATCATTGTCAATAGAATTGATCTCTCCGTTGCCAAAACTAGCCTTTTGGTATTCAACGTTGTGATTATAATAATAAAAATTCTTAAAGTATTCATCATGATTCTGATTATTATAGAGATCACATTCATAATTTTCATTATTAATAGTCAAATCTTTAAACATTTCAGTGGTTGAAGTAAGATTCAACTGAGACGAGGTAGGCATTGAACCGCAATCACAAGTGCTCAGAGGCATTAAATGAGAGAAGTCAGAATTAGGAGAATTAAATGAATACGGCATAATGATATCGTAAACCTTTGAACATGTTGGAGTCGATGCACCGGAAGACAATGGCGAAGGACTATTTTGAACAAATGACGCGGATGGCTGATGACCGTATCCATACTTGTTGTGATAGCCATATTGATTGTGTAATCTTTGAACTTGTTGAATGTGATAAAGATATTCATGATTATTGTGAGAAGTGTTTAAAAATTCTTTTTCATATTGACTGTCAGTTAATACGAGAGGAGTTATAGGTGTCAAAGGACTTGAGACAGGACGTAGTATAGGACTTGGACATGGACTAGCATTTGGACTCATATTTGGAGAAGACAGAGAAGCAAGGTGAACATCCATAACATTAGAAGAATGGAGTATGTCGTTAGAGGTTGTGATTAAATGACTTAGAGCGCTTGGACATATTTTACGGTCTGGAGTTGTGTAAACGTTTGCGGAAGATTGTGAAGATGAATCGTTATTCATATTAAGTCTTATTGAGCATAACACAATCTTTATGTGCTATTGATTAAAAATATTGTTGGTTAAAAAGACAATGATTTTTGATTGTAACAAACGACGCCTAACAAGTTTTAAAGGTAGTACTCACTCTTAGAAAGCTGGTGACGATTTCCAAAAGGAAAAAAAAGAAAAAAAAAACAATATTTTTATATAAATAAAAATCAGTCTGGAATTAAATCACAACTATATATATGTTTATTGTACTCACTTTGTGTATTTATAAAAAAAAAAAAATTATTGTGGGGTAATTGACATTGAGTACATTTGAAAATCAGTGATGTAATATAAATTCCTAGTGATGTAATATAAATTCCTTAAAAAATTTTTTTTCTCATTATATAACTATTTGATTTGTGTAGAAATCTCCCCACACGCATACAATATGCCGGCCCCCCACAAATGACAAAACACATCTTTAAGTCATTGCAAAACAAGTTTCTTTAGATTTGCACAACATACGTATGCGCACATAACAAATGTTTGTATTACCATTCAAAATAAATTAGTGTATATGACTACCTTAAAGAGTTATATATGACGTTGGTCAAAGCAATTGCCCTTGTTTATTCCCAAAGCTTTGTCACGTTTCGAATTTTAGACATATATAGTATAATATTGATGTGATAGTTAAGCAAGGGCCTTGCGAATTGTAATCTATCGTTATTATAATCTTGTCCAACTTACCCTGGATTTCGATTGCTGGAGTTACAATGTTGAATTTTTAATTCATCAACCGGTTTTAAACCATTGTCAGGTTCTCTGTATATACATACGTACGTATCGAATTCATTATCAGAAAGTATATCTCATAAATTATCGTAATATTATCAGGTGATGAACGGCAAGAAAAAACCAATTCCAATTTTTTCGATTTGTGTTTTGATATAAGTAAGGTCTGAATTGGTATATACTATGTTATAACATAAGCTAAGCACTAAATATGTCAATCCGTATTTGTAATAAAACGGCTTTTTGTCCGGAGCGAAGCGGAGGACTCATACTTCTACGCGCTTTGATGACCGAAATTACGATGGTGATGCATCTATAACAGGCATAAAACATCTTCCCTAAAGTGTTGTCAATAATAAAAATTATAATAAAAACATATGAATTTACTATGAACTTTGAGCCAAAGATTAAAATCAAAATTTGCGATTATATAGAACAAAAGCTTAAAAACTAAATTAAAATTTTGTTAATTTTGCATAATTTGAAAATGTAATTTTGTCTTTTTTTTTTTTTTTTTTTTTTTTAAGGTGAGGTTTTGCCTTTATCTTTATTTATTTGTATTGGATAACTACTAGGGGTATCACTGGCCGGAGCCGGTTTACAAATTTTTACAAGAATGAGACTCAGACTATAGATTATTAAATCTAATTTATCTGCAACCTAAACCTACTAGAGTGGTTAAAACTCACCTAGATAAAATGTAACTTTGTCAAAAATAACTATTTTCAATTTTAAAGTGATTATTATATATAAAATTATGCTCTTAATACCTTAGAAGGCAAAAGTAGGTTAATTTAGCAAAAAAATAAGTTAACTATGCACTAAAATTAATTTTTTTTATTTATCTATATAAAATTTTTTTTATTAAAATAACTTATTTTAACTTCTTAAGTAAACTTGTTTAGTATAAAATTATATATATATATTTGTTAAACCATATTTTCTTAAATCTTTACTAAATAAAAAATAGAATTAATATTATAAAAAAACTATACAAATAAGAAAATAATAACCTTAATTATATATATTGGTTTAGCTAATCAAAGTTGTAAATTTTTAAGTAATTTATTTATATTTATCCTTTTTTTTATATTCAGTAGTCCTGTTTTTATTATTTTATTAAAAGTATTAGAAAATTATAATTAATAAATACAAAACTTTCTATACTATATTTCTACTAAAGAAGGTTTACTTGACCTTATGACCCAGGTGTGACAATATCTAGCAATAATTTGCTTTATATTGAATTTTTAACTTTCTGATGATTTGAGCTCTTCAATCATTAGCTGAGCAGCTATATTGCTTTATTAAGAAGTCAAATCAAAGAAAGCACAGATAAAAAAAATAAAAAAATATAAAGATATAGAAAATAGCAATAAAATATACAAGTAAAAAAATAAAAAATAAAAAAAATAAAAAATAAAGAAAAAAAAATTTGTTTATTGTACTTCCAAGTAGCAGAACTAGAGTTCAAATTCTACTGATAACAAAATTTAAATTTACAAAATATATTTAGAAAACTATATCTTATTAAGCTATTACTTGTAATAAAATCATATTAGCTTATACTAGGAGGCTGTAAAACTATAGTGTAATATATAAATTATACAAACTAAGTAAAGTAGCTGAGTAAAATTAGTAGGTTAGAATATAGAAGCCTGCTTGACAAGATCTAAATAGAGAGATATGCAGATTTTTAATAATACTATATAAAGGATTATTATTTGAAAAATCAAAAAATCTGAACAAAACTAAAGTATTAGACAAGACAATTTACTAAATAGACTGCTAGAAGAGTATCAAAAGAAAAAAACTTAATTATAAGAACTAAAAGCAGGTCATATCTCTTTTGAACTATCTGAATTAGTGATTGAACTCAGGTTGGGTTAACCTGAATATACCCAGATGGGTCAGGTATCCAGGTTGTGATTGTATCTACCCATGAACCAACATGTAAACCAACACATGTATCTATCTATGAGCCAACCTGCTGTTCGGCTGATTTGATTAAGTTTTAATTTTGGAATTTAAGATCTGATATTGATACACATATTATAAAACTAGTATATAAGAATAGAGTATTATCCTTTCAAAATAATTTCTCTGGTAAATAATTGAAAAAATTTATTAGTTCGAAAATTGCTAAATACTAGATATTAGAAGATCTTTTACAAATTGAGTTTTCAAGCATTTTCAAAGATATGGCTATATTGAAAAACTTTTGTAATACATTTTCAACAAATATTAAATTTTAAATTTTTGAAATCTTGAATTCTATTATAAAATGGCTGAGTATAAACTATATATTTAAAGTTTTAATAAACATAATACGCTTTATAATTTTTAATAACAAGTACAGTATTACATATGTACTTGAAAGCAAAGAAATATTTATTAAAAATTAGGCTTTTAATGCTTTACAAAAAGATATGTCTACATGATTTTTATAATGATAATCGAAGAAAATTTCTGAGATTTAGATTGTCTTTATATTTCATTTAAACAATTAAAATTAATTAGCAAAGTTCGCTAATCTATTTTTTTTTTAAGTTACTATACAAAAGGTTATATATGAGACTTGGGTCTGTTATATTCTATCCATTTTAAAATCTATAATAGATCTGGGTATAGTATATTTACAAAGATCTTGTAGTTGGTTCGCATGAGTCTAATTTATGGTATATATTCATATCAAAGAGGATCTTATATATACGTAATATGGTATTTAATTCTTTATTCTGTTCCAGGTTTGACAGGTAATCTTTGTACCTGGGTATATTTGTTAGTCTATCCAGATTACCTGCAGGTCTACCTGCGAGTAACCTAGGTTATACTTTTTAGGCCAGGTATAATCACTAATCTGAATTAGAAGTTTAAGATAGCTAAAAAAATAGTTAATATTTTGTAAAATATATATTAGAGTTTGGATAAACTTTGCAAAAATACAAAGTAGATAATGGTAACAGAGATAAAAGAATATAAGTACTTATTTTTGGATTTAGTATAAGTTATTAAAAATCTAGATAATATATATATAGAATATAAATTGCTTTAATAGGTTTACTACAAGGTTAATAGATTCTTTATATAGTAGTATATATCTGCTTTAAAGCTTTAGAAAATCTTAGTATCAGGTTCTTTTTTAAAAATAATATCTGACAATATAAATTTAATTAAAGAGCTTAAATAGGGATTTATAGACAAATCTTAGATATAGCAATTAATGAATAACTATAAATAAAAATAGATATAGCAGAACACTTAAATAGATACTAACTAAAGTTGTATATATAGTCAATTATACTCTTATTAATGTAACAATATCAGGTATAGTCTCTGTAATTATACTAGTATTAATCAAAAGTTTAATAAACCATGTTAGTTCTTTAAGTAGTTATAGTGTCTGACAAAAGTTTTCTTGTATTTCTAATTCAGTACAGAGATAAAATAAGTAAAAAATTTTTTTATTTAAAAATATATTGCATTATAAGAAAAATCAATGGATTGTATAACTACTCTTAGCTTCAATTAAGGCTTTTACACAATCTTTTATACTTCTAACTAAATTTTTTAATTTTTCATATATTCTTTAAGTAAGTTATTTTATTCCCTTGTTATTTCGCTCTTCAAACAACTAAGAATTCTAATTTTTTTTTTTGCTAGGTTTATTTTCATAAGTCCTCAGACATTTTCAATCAGGTTTTGGTTAGATGATATCGACTACTAGAGAAAAACCTAGATATTATTTTTTTTCAAGCTTTTACAATTTTCAAACAATACTTTGGATCATTGTCTTTCTGCAAGATCTATCTATTGCAATATTCATTAAAAAGGTTCACAACAGAAGACAAAAGACTTATTTTATACAGAGTGATCATATATTGCATATTAAAGTTATGTATAAAGCAGACCAACCTGCCAAAGCCTGAAGAAAAAAAATAGCCTTATATATAAATCTTCATTAGATACTTGACAGAATGAGTTAATTTTCTTTTTCTAGAAAACTGTTATATTTTTTTAGTTATTAATTCAAGCAGAAAATACTTTTATTAATAAATATTACAGAATTCTAGTTAAAATCTTTATACTTTTTTGCTCACAAAAAGCATTTTTTCTGATACTTCTCTTTAAACAAAGACTTTGAGAGCTTTTTATAATAATGGTCTCTATTTTATGAAAACACTATTGAATAGTATATACATATATCAATATTCTGTTTCATCAGTTCATAACAG